CTATTTGAAATCAAATTAACCTTTATAAATTTGGCCACTGTGGCGGCTAACAAATCTATCATATTTAATTTCAAATAGAAACCTTTAGGGATAATAAACCCATTTAAAAACAAAATAACAACAATAAAGAAAATTATTCTTTATCAATCCTCAATGTATTTACATACATACTATATCATTATACCATTAACAATAAATACCTTTTCATTATAAGGCTTAAAAAATGATGCACAAACAACGCACATGTAAGCCTTTTCAAATGAAAGCTTGAAAATGATGCATAATATCCAAAAAAATATATATTTAGCTTTTAACAAAGAATATCAAATATAAGGAAAACCCCAAAACCAAAGACCTTAAACATTTGATTTCTTTCAAACCGTAAGTCCAAAATTTTCTAAGAGAATTCATTGTTTATTCAAAAAATTCAAACAACAAAACCTCATCGATTATAAAGCCAAAATTCTTCCAAACTTTCCATCTATTCACAGATTCAAAATTTAAATAACAAACCCTTATTAAACTGTGAATCCTAGTTTTTTCTAAAAAATGTAGCTTTTGTTCCAAAACAAAAAAATCACCATCAGGGAACAAAAATAACACTACATAGCTAATACCAAATACATAAGATGGAACCCACGGTCAAAAAATAATAAACTTTATGCCAAAAGACAATAAAGCAAAACTTTTCATGATTAATCGTATATAAAAATCACAAAACTTAATTCCCTCATAATTCAATATGATGATGGCTCTGATACCAATTGTTGGAATTTTTTTAATTCCTCTAAACCTTTTGGTGATAACTATCACCTACAAGCCAAGATCCATCATACCAAATCATAAAGAAATAAGAACAACATAAAGGTGGAGGCATACCTGTCTCCATTGCAGCGGAATAACTTTGATCTTGTCTTTTGGGGTTTGTAGTCTTCCTCAGTCAAATCACCCTAAAACCGAATTCCTTAGTGTGCCGTCTCTCTCTTGATGGGAAAGAGAAACTAGGGTTGTTCATTTGACGTATTGGGGACCATAACCCTTTTATAGTGTTTTTATCTTTATTGTTGGACCAATAAGCTCCCATTATACCTAGTTGGCCCAACACCGGTATCCACTCATTCGGCCCATACTCACTTAGGAATCTATTTGAGAATATTTACCTGATCACTTTAATTTACCCAATATATATAAATAGCACAATATAATTATTAATATAATACGTGACCCACAATAATTATTAGAAAATATAATTTCCTAACAGCTCCAACTCAAGCCCACCTTCATATCTAATTCAAGCATTCCAATACCTCCTTCTTCAAATAGATAGCAACCATAACCATAACAAAATTGGTTGATTCGTAAGAAGAAGAGAAAAAATGAATCAACCAAAATCCGAGTGATCAGACTGCTGGACCATGTACATTGTACCTCATGGCTCATGCATTGAAGCTGGGTCTACCAAAGCGAGTGATCAGACAGGCCGGACGACTGATTATTAAGAGACCACGGGCTTAACCCAACACTTCCTTACAATATCATTCCCTTCATAAACCTATTTTCCTTTTTTGATTTTATTTTATTTTATTTCCGAATTAGCATTACATAACTCGGAACAGTGATCATTTTGTTACGTTTGAACAAAAAAATTATCAGACTGCCATGCCAACAGTAAATTTTGCCAAAATGTCACACGGCATAATTCGCTACACAGTGTAGCGAATTATGCCGCGTGACATTTTGACAAAATTTACTGTTGGTGTGGCAGTCTGGTAATTTTTTTGTCCAAACATGGCACTTTGGTCACTATCCTACATAACTCCTTATTTTATTTTATTTTACTTTTGGGAGACAAAAAAAATTTAAAGTCCAAGAAAACAAACTAAGAACTGAAAACTAACTAGGGAGAGAAACATAATGAACTCTCCCAACTGATACAAGATTAGCCAAAAACAAAACATGAATTCCTTCTAGAGGATCCTCAAAAATAGTTAGTCAACTTGGTGTGTATGATCTAGCAGGTAATTAGTCATCCAATTTGCACACATGTTTCCTTCTTTAAATGCATGATGAAGACGAACCTCCCACTCTCTATCAATTCATATTTGTATACAAGAGAACAACCACATCTCACGAACTGCTGCACCATCCTTAGTGAGCCCAGTGATTACCACTAATTAAGGAATCACTTTTTAGCAATAACTTTTCTGTAACTTGCATTCCACAACTCCTCCAAGCTATACAAGATGCCCCAGAGCTCGGGTCTAAAAGTTGTGCAAGTTCCCAACCTAATAGCAAAGCCTCTTAACCATTGACCTTGTGAATTTCTCAGCACACAACCGCATGTAGCCAACCGGAGTTACCACGCGTTGCTCCATCTGTTTCGATATTCGCGTGACCCTCCACTGGAAATTGCCCAAGAGGCATGATGTGAATGCTAATGGAAAATTTTCCCCAATCTTCTATTTCTTTTCTTCTTCTCAATTTATCTTTTATGTAATTTCATTAGTATGCATTTGGTGGGTTTTTGTTTTTTGTTTTTACTTTTATTCTCATAAAAAAACTTAACCAAATACATTGTTATAAAAGTTTTTATTTTAAAATTTGTTCATAATAAATAAATAAAGTTAAAAATTAAAAGGAGAACTTTTTTTAAGATGTATATCAGCTTTTCATAATTCTCATATTTATTTTCTAATTATATTTTTATTCTAAAATTATATTTACAAAATGTATCATCTACTTTAATGATAAATCATTTGATTTTCTTATCCCCTTTAAAACGAAAAGAACATCACTAAGAAAGAGTTCATTCCAAAGTAAAATTTTGCACGCTAAGTTGTCTGTCTGTCTCTTATATGTATTTTAGGGTATACTTTATATTGAATAAAAAAATATAAGTAGATTTTTCAAAAGTTCATATGCACAAATAAACAGGCTTGTCCACCATCTATTTCATTTTTGTTGTCTCCGTCACCAAAAAAAAAAAACAACAACGAGGGGATCGAGTTCTCACCTTACCTTCAGTTTTGATCATCACAACCCTAATATAGTTTTGCAGAACTAGGGACATAAATAAGTCAAACGACTTATTTAAGAACAAGCCATAAGCCTCTTTTAAAAAGTTTGGCCTTAAAGCATGTGTTGATTTATTTAGTACCAATTGTAAAATTCTTTTATCACTAGTCCAATTGGTAAGAAGTGTGTTGATCTGTGATTTAGAATTGCAAGTGTTAAGTTTAAAAATGATAAAATTATCCTTTTCTTAACTCTTTATTGAAAAATGTTTTGAAGATATTAATTAATTGTTATAAGAGCTATTTCCATTTATCTTATATTTTATTTATTTATTTATTTTAAAATAACTCATGTTTGATTTATTATAACTGAAATTATAATAAACCTGATAGAACTCAAAACATTTACATAAATTTAATATATTTAGGCTAAAAAAATTAAGTCTAAGCCAACTTATTTATTCACACTCTTATCCATGACGATACTTGAATCAATGCCTAATATTTCAAAATTATAATTATAAAATACGATGGCGTGTAGACGATAAAATTGGAAACCACGTTAAACTTTTAATTTCTTGCCTGGTGTAAAATATCTATAAAAATTATGGTTTTCTGCAACTTTCAATTTTTTTCTTGAATTAAATTTTTTAAAAATAAAATAAACATCTAATTTCGTAATTTATTTAATCTTTTTTCTTCTCTCCTTACACGATAAATTTCTTTGGAAATGGATTCTCTCACGTGAAAAAAAACATAATATGGTCATATGGAAGATCATAACCTATGAAGCACCGACACTTCAAAAATTCTGACGTGTCGTGTCCGACACTCCCCGACACTCTAACACTGTTATAGAAATTCAAAAAAAAGATTCAAAGGCTGTGTTGCGTTGAATTTTTAGTTTCAACTATTAGATTGGTTGAATTTCGATTATCATTTTATTGAGTTTAATATAAATATTTGGGATATCTTATATTTCTTTGCAAAATTAATGAATATTATAAGTTTAGTTTTATTTTTTTGTTAAATTATTAATATTAAATATAATATACACTACATAAATTAAAAATATTATTTAATATTAAAACGTGTCCTAACGTGTCGAAATCTAATATTTTTTAAAATTAACGTTTCGGAGTGTCGTGTCGTATCGTGTTACGTGTCCCATGTCAGTATCGGTGCTACATAGATCATAACCATACAAAGGTAAATCAACACTTATAATTTCGTAACTACTTATTTTAATATTATTGATCCACCTTTTATGATTATGATTCCTACAATATCACACGAGAGAAACCAAATCCAACTTCTTTACCTTCTTCTCGAGGGTCTGTTAATTGGGAATAGTCGAATACTACAAAATACATATTTTGTTTGATGTTTAACGTAATGTAAATATTCAACAAAAAGATAATAAAAATCTCCGATTTTTTTTTATCTATTAAATTAAGTTATATATGTCTAAAAAAAAAAGATATACAATTCTGTTCACAATAAAAAAAATCATTTACCCATATCCCTTCATTTGTTCAGCTCTCTATTTTATACAAAATAACATATTATTATACAAAAAAGTGTAATAAATTTTGTGTTATTACATTCGTCATTAATACATATTATATGATATTCTATTTTTTTTAATCTTATATAATAATTAATAATACAAAATTATCATGCCACTCAATCACTTACAAACATAATATTATGGCTGTGTATAATCTCTCTATTCTATACCTACAATAGACTTCTATATATTTTTGTTATCCCCCTCAACAGTGGTAACATAACGGTAAACAAATTATTTTTTATTTTTTTTCAAACCCTTTGCCATAATGAAGCCGGTTCACTCACTTACCGAGTACGTTCACATATTAGCAATTTTGACACGAGATTTCCCACTCTTAACAAACTCCTTAAGAAATATTAAATATTAAATAAATTGTATTGTAATTTGTACTGGGAAGAGAAAATTGAAACCAAATGTTATGTGGCCTCGCTTCACCGTCGTCACTACATGGATTCTTATATGGTGGCCTCGCTTCAATAGCAAGGGCGGTTGTCGGTTGTATTTTCTCTTTTGATCGCTTCTGACTCTACTCCTCCTTCGCCATCTTTCCGAACCTTGTTTTCGTCGATTACGATGCTGTTTTGTCGGGGACTTTCTCGGATTTCGAGAAATCTCAGATGCAGCTTGAACGGATTTCCTTTTTTTCCGTCCATTCGGGACCAGAATCACCAATTTCTTTCATCGCATAATTATCAGTCACCTAGAGGCTCTACTGCAAAGGTATTAGTTGTCTCCTCACAGCTTCTAGTTCAGTTTTCATGACTTAATATATACACAGATCTAAATTCTCGTAGTTTGTTCCATTTAACCCTCGCATTTTCTCCTAATTGGAACGATTTCAGTAATGTCTCATTTGGGATCAATGAATCATTGCTTTCTAGATTCTATTATCTGACTTGATTCCCTAAAGGAGGATGAGATGATCATTAAGCATAATTATAATGCTTCCCAAATGTTTGGAGTTAAAAAGTAATGGAACCCATGTTTTGTTCTAACTTCGAAGTTTTAGTAATGACTTCCGGTCTTGGTTACTTGTGGTTTTTCCTTTAATTAAAAATTGACCAGTGGCAATTCAACGTTGACTATCGAGGACTTATAAATAGATGATTGTTGATGCTGTTGTATGAAATAGTGCTACAGGAACCAGGGTTTAGTGGAGGGTTAGGCCGGAACATCTTTCTTGTTCTTCTTTAAATTATGAAGTCAAGGAAAACGATCGTGATGTAAAGAATGAATAACTGACTCAAACTATATTAAGTCCAATGTGTATATTTTAGATCTTCATAACAGGAAGAATAAATTATGAAGTACAGAACAATGAGTAAATGCCGTAATAATATATTTGGCCATGAATTTGCTTTGACAAATAGATACTGTTGAGTGTTGATATCTGACTGGCAAAATGGTCATATAACTATATAAGGTTATGAGGTACACGCTTTTTCTATTGCATACGCCCCCTACTACAGAGCTTCTTATCATTTTGATATGCGTTTGCATTTAAGCTGTTTTTGTGATTGCTGACCCATGCTTGTCCTGGAAAACTTTATTTAAATAACAAAGTTTTGTGCTTGTTTAGCATTTATGAGTGACGAGGATTTATGCTCAGCTAATGGTTTTCTTATTGGAATCTCTTTGGTAGATTTACAGAGGGACTGGAGAACTCTATTATATTAATGGTTTAATTGTTGATATGTTTATTTCTGTTGTTAGTTCATTTTCCTCACCCTACCCTCGCAAGTAGGGTTCCATGGGGAGGGTTTTTTTATTAGTTCGTTTTTCTATTAGTTTGGTTGAGGAGATTTTTTTTTTTCCTTCTGTTTTTGGATAGAATTTTTTTTTATTAGACCAAAATAAGTTAAAATACAACTAATCATGATTTGTTAGTATTAATCTTATTAAGTACCATTGCCCAAACAAAAGATTTATCTCATAAATTATTTTTATCTACAAAAAATTATTTGCGCCATTGAGTTCTACTTTTACATGGCGAGATGCAGGTTACGAGAAGTTTAATTTTATTAAAGGGTCTGCCAGCATTGCACAGTGGTAGATATCAAATCCATCATCAAAGCAGCTCCATTTCTGAGGTTAGTTTCTTTGTTATTTCTCCTCTTTCTTCTGTATACAGTTCTTAATCCCACTTCTCGCATGATTTGTTATTTCTTTTTTCGGTATGACTGTATGTTTAAAGCTTTATCATGTTTCATTTTCTTTACATATAAGTTGCAAAACAAAATTTAAGAATATAATTTCAGATTTTCAACTGCACCATTTATACATTTCTCTATATTACATTACGGTTTTCATAATCATAAACGTCCTTAGGAGCAACTTGAACTTTTTGGACTAGTACAGATAATTTACTCATATTAAAAAATATTAAGGATTTAATTGAGAAGGTTCTCATCTGCAATTTTACATTGCTTTATTATTTACTCATTTCTAATCTTCTTTTGAGATACATATACCGTTTCCAGGATGAACTTGATCCTTTTTCACTGGTTGCTGATGAACTATCGCTTGTTGCTAACAAATTGCGAGCAATGGTAGTTGCTGAGGTATCAGACTGTTCTTTATTTTCTTCTAATGCATATATGCTTGGATGCAATAAAAAATTTCAGATTTATTTGCTGTGTAGAAGTCAGGTCTAATTCCTAGTAAAAAAATTGTTATTATATGGCAGGTTCCTAAGCTTGCATCAGGTGCTGAATACTTCTTCAAACTGGGGGTTGAAGGAAAAAGATTTCGTCCCACAGTAAGAATATTCTTAATCGTAAGCTGATATTGTTATTGCTCTCTTTTCCAGAAATGTTTACTTCAGTATGAATTGACATCGTGGGAGGAACTTTACTATTAAATTTATGCTTGGACAAATTATGAATTTATTGACCATTTATCTGCCTTTGAATTTACTAATTTCAAATAGAGGTTAACATGTTCATACTCAGACACATTAACAAGCTTTTCTATTATCTTACATGCTCATGTTTACCCAATTCTCTGAAATATGATAATTGGCACATACAATTAGATTGTAAAAAAGTGAAACACAGGGGAATCCTTTTAGTTCAGATTATGTCATGGACAAGGGTTTATTTAACTATAGTTACAATTCCAAATATTTTTTTCTTGTTTTAGTATTTATAGGACCAAGATGCCTTCCTGCCATGCTATTTAGATTTACTTATTTACTTGAATGTTGAAAGTACATTTTGCAGCACTATGTTGAAGTATTGTTGCCATTTTCATATTGTTCCAAACCTTTTCTTTTGTTCAAAATGTCTGTATTTTGTCAAGATATGTTCTATGTGTTTTGTCATTCTTCTCTTATTTGTCTGGTGCCGATGTTTGACCTATAAAATAAACCTCAAACTTTTTTCGAAGATAACTTAAGTATTTCATCAGTGAAATTTGAGCCCTATTATGCACCCATAACCCCCGGGCTATTTGCGCTCCCTGTATATTTAGTTTTTATTCATTGGTTATTCACTTATTCTTTCTTCGTCACTTTATAGTGGCAATTAAATTTTATAGTTTTAGTGATAAAATGTATAATTTGTGAGCATACTTTGATGTCTTGATGCTTTCATATACAGGATGTGGGTTAATGGATGGTTATTTATGCAGGTTTTATTGTTAATGTCAACAGCATTAAATTTACCAATACCCAAACCACCTCTTCCTGACGACCTAGGAGGTACTTTATCAACTGATCTACGCTCAAGACAGCAATGCATAGCTGAAATAACCGAGATGATCCATGTCAGTCCTTTAGAAAATTTCCTTTATTTAGTAAATAGTGCTTTGATTATACTGTTGATTATATTAAGAAGAATAAATACAAATTAATTTTTATTTTGTTTCCGCCACCTACCACGCTTTTGTCAATGTAGTTTGATTTTGTTTTTTCTTTTCAAGCCATGTCATCAATGACTCATAAATGTTACTGTTTTCTTGTTTACTTGATTCTATTGGTTCCTTTTGTGAACCCTTCCTTGCTTGTACCATGACCCAGTGTCATTCAATCATAGACTTGCTTGATATTCAGTTTTTTATCTATGTTTCCTTTGGCATGTGATTGTATGAAGAATCAGAACTTACAATGTTCATTAGATCTTAGTTAGAGTTGGAAGAAAGGGCTTCTACTTTTTATAAGTCTGAAGAAAGATAGGTTTGTTTTTATGGTCTCTTTCTGATGCTCTCTGTTCATGGTTGTTTTAAGGGAATATCCATTGATGTCAGGTTGAGAGATCAGACGACTATGTTGTACTTTTTAGCCCCTTTGTTTTAGTTTCTTCTTTTCCCTCTAATAAAACATTTTCTCAATTAAATAAATTTCTTTTATCTACTTAGTTGCTGCTATGCCTAACACTCGGAATTTGGAAGATGATTTTGTGAAGCAAGTCTGAGTTTCCCTGCTGACTCAATGACAAAGATTCTTCTGAAGCAGAGACTGATCTGTAGACATCTTACTACTTTTTTGCTTCAGTTTTGTTATATTACTATCTACCAATTAGATTAAGAGGTGCAAGTTTGCCGTTAGTCCCTGAGGAGACCATTAGTTATGCTTTAGGTTTAGTCATGTGAGAAAAAAAAAAAAGGAAGATGACTGTGACAGTAAGAGATTGCATATGAGAAAAAATAACTGCGATCTTATCATATTCTCTGAACTGTTCGTTCTGTCAATCTAAGATTGGTTGTTGGGCTGATGTGATCTGGTTATGCATTGTTTAGGCCACAATCAAGTTCACATTGAAATTGTGCATGACATGACTAGCTGCCTCTTACCCTTAACAGGAACAAACGATTTCAAATCTCATGCATTTGGACCAAGCAATACAAAAAACACTCCTTATTAAATCGTGACTAGTGAAGATAGGGATGAGGGAAATCTTTGTACCGCTTCAATATAATTTGTCCTGGGAATGGAGAAAATGGTGTTGAGAGTGTCTAGTCGAATATGGGTCCGGTAATGCTCGAATTGGATTAAGCCGGCTTGGATAAAAAAAAATAAAAATAAAAATATATTTGTCCCTTAGAATGGTTCAGGAGCATCACTAGATCTGTTCATTGCTTTTCCTTTATTCCCTAAAGACTTCAGAAACTTTACTGGGACAGTACCCATTAATATTGAAGTACCTTTTTTTGTGCACACTTTTACTCAGTCTTATGCTTCTTTCCATCTTGAGCCCCACCTGACCAGAAAATGGGAAAAAATAACTTTATCAAACTAATGGGGTCATAATTTTGCTACAGGTGGCTAGCCTTCTTCACGATGATGTTTTGGATGATGCAGAAACCAGACGTGGTGTTGGTTCATTAAATTTCGTAATGGGCAATAAGGTATGTATATAAAGTTTGTTTTTCCTGCATATTATTTGCCATTTGTTCATAATTTTTCAATGATATTTTGTAGTGGGCGTATCTTACCTGAGGTGGTTGTTTTTCTATATTCTGTATAACTTTTGATGCAGTTGGCAGTGTTGGCTGGAGATTTTTTGCTTTCTAGAGCTTGTGTTGCTCTGGCTTCTTTGAAAAACACAGAGGTAAGGTAAAAGGGTGATATTTTGTATATATAAAATTCTAAAGATAATGAAATAATTATGTACTTAAAACATTTTATTTTCCTAAAGACTGTATCTCTGTAGGTTGTATCATTGTTGGCAACAGTTGTAGAGCACCTTGTAACAGGGGAGACCATGCAAATGACTACTTCATCGGATCAAAGGTGTAGGTATGCATTGTGTTTGTGTCAAGTACGCATCTATGTTTAGTGTAAATAGAAAGTTAATCTTTATATTACATAATTTGTATCAGTATAAGTGATTTATGGTTTCTTTTCTTTACGGAAATCCCCGGTTTATTCTGTCACTATATAATTAGTAGTTAATTAATTATGGAAGTTCATTTCTTTTTCTCTTGCACAAACACATAATTTTAGGTAAGTCTTAACAAAGCATTGAATCCAAATAGACATAATAGGCACTTACAGGTATGTGTGATTTCTAACAATTGTTTATATTTTCAGTATGGAATATTATATGCAAAAGACATACTACAAGACCGCATCATTGATTTCAAATAGTTGCAAGGCAATTGCCATCCTTGCGGGCCATACAGCAGATGTTGCAATGCTTGCTTTTGACTATGGAAAAAATCTGGTTTGTATATTCTTAGATTTTCCCTTTTGAGTGTGTGTTGCGATTCTGTTGTAAATAGCATACATAAAACTGAGATTCTTTGCACAAAGAGAAGTAATGAAAGTAAGCCTTCAAGATGTGTCCTCCATTTCATCTGGAAACATTTTAGTTGATATCTTTCTACCTATCTGTGCTTGTTACATATGTACCTATTTGTGATTTTTTCTAGATGACATAATTGAACGCTATTCTCTCTCTCTTTTTTTTTTTTTTTTTCTTTTTGCAGGGATTGGCCTTTCAATTGATAGATGATGTGCTTGATTTCACAGGCACGTCAGCTTCCCTTGGAAAGGGTTCTTTATCAGATATTCGCCATGTAATTTCATAATTTCTTCTGATTCTCAATTTCACCAGTCTTGAGTTTTAATTTTCAATATATTTCAAAATATTTTGATGAAAGTCTATAAATCGTTGATGGTCAATTTAGTCAAACGTGGGATATATATTTGCCATGAGAACCACGATTCTTCATTTGTGTAGCTGCATTGCGTGAATACTATGGTAGTGTTTGGTAGACTCTTTGGATTGGGACGAAATATGTTTAGTTCATTTTAAAAATTAGAACAGACAACAGAACTGGATATGGGGTTGAAAAGTAGTACATTTTGGTTTTACTAAAATGGATTGAACCAAGGAGTCAGGACAGAACTAGAACTGTTTCCTTCCATTGTATTCCATTTTGTCCGCGTCAAATGCTACCTATGTCTGTCCATGTTGACATGTTGCATATATGCTTTTTGATGGAAATTATCTAGGGATAGGTTCCCTCCATGTTTGGCTAACTTGAAAGATATAAACCCAAATTCACGGTTTAGTAAACCTTGACAGCTAGTGTTTTTATCGGCTAGATACAAACAGACCAAGTAAGTACTAAGGTCCATTCTTGGTCACATCACGTGCAAACATATGAGGTTTAATGACCATCAAGCAAACTTTTAGGGCATGTTTGGTGCATAGTATTGGATAAGGCCTGATAGTATAATACTTGATAGTATAAGACCTGATTGTATAAGACCTGATTAAATTTTAATACTATCCAGAGTTTGGTATGGTATTGTATAAGATAATATTCTCCAATATTTTAAAAATTAATATATTAAAAAAAATTATTTTAATATATTAATATGGAAATGATATATTAGTTCTTGAAAATTGTACTTGTAAGCAATATTAATACATCAACCCCTTATCAAGCCTAATCTCACCTCCTTAGGCCTGATTAAGTTATACATCATTTTGATGTATTAAAGGGTTCCGTTGTATAAGCTTATACTATACGATGGTCACACCAAACAACTGAAAATGTCATAACATATAGTATAAGCTTATACTATCAAGTCTTATATATCACACCAAACAGACTCTTACATACAGTGTTATGCAACCTAGGATGGAAAGGATAGAAAATAAGATTAGCTGTGACAGCAGTAGCCTGTATGGCTTCTAATTTTCTTTTGCATCAAACTCTCATCTATATTATCAAATGTTTATCTCTTTCATAATTAGATTTATGAATGGTGATAAATAGTAGATAGCATTAAGTGTCACTTGTGTCAAACTGTTGGCATCTACACTCTAAAATTGAACTCGGGAGTTTTCCAAAAGACCAAGACTGAAAGGTTGGTTAACCACATCATTGATTGGGTTTATGTAATTTATCTTGCTTTTTCTTAACCATGTTTTTAACATAATTTATAATGTTGTTTGTGCATTGATATTAATCTCTATGCTGAACTTTTTTGGGGTCAATTTCATTAAAAAAAAAAAAAAAACTTATTTTTGTTTTTATGTGCATTTTGCTTTGCCTTTATTTTTCATAAGTGTCTGGATGTCCATCTGTACTTACCTTTTACTTTTATTCTTGGCCTTACTTTAGTTTTGTGATAAGGGTTTATCTGTAGTTTCATCATTTAACTGTTTGCTGTGTTTACAATTTTATTAAATTTTCTTGCTTCCTATGACTTGGTTTGTGTCTTTCTTTGATACTAAGTTTGTATGAGACCTATTGCTGGTCCAAAAAATTATTGCAGGGAATTGTAACAGCTCCAATATTGTTTGCGATGGAGGAGTTTCCTCAGTTGCGTGCAGTTATTGACGAGGGCCTTGACAACCCTGAGAATGTTGATCTTGTAAGTTAATATGATGTGCTTGGCTACATGTATATTCTCCCACTAAACAAGCGTAATAACTACCCTGAAATATACGTATGGCATTGGTGAATCTACTTGTCAAGAAGCAATTTCCTAAAAGTCTGAGCTGATAGGTGAAAACAATGTTATAAAAATCGGACCGACCGGAAATCGGTGAACCGATTATGTAACCGGTCCGGTTTTTATATTGGATCAGCCATGTAATGGAACCGGTGCGACCCGACCGGTTCAACCGGTGACTCGACCCGGTTCATAAAAAAAATTGGTTTGTTCTCATCAATTGATGCCTTTCTTTTTTTCACTCACACACAAATGGTTTGTTTTCTTTTGAAATATTTGAATGGTCTGTTGCTTATTGAATTACATAGGTTATGTACCTGCAACACTAATTATTATCTTGGTTATGCAATATGTAGCGAATTTTGATTTGATTTATAGTTAGAGATGTCGTTTACTGAAACTGAAACACCAGTGTCACAAGTATTATATGCTTGATTGATCTTTTGTTGGACAATGATGTGTAATTTATTGTTTATGTGCCTGCTTTTACCACGAGGTGCTTATGTGTAAAAGGGATTTTGAAGTATATCTCTGGTCTTGTATTAATAACTAAACCTTTTAGATGTTGTGATCAAATTGAGGATCTTATTATGGGGCATCAACAAACCATGGGTGACCTAATAGCCTTATGATCAGTCCTTTGAATTAAACACGCATTTTTATCATACAAGCTTATTACAGAGATTACATATTTATATATTTATTCTTTTTTTTTTTGGTAAAACAATATTTATGTGTTGATATATTTACAAATGTAGGCTCTGGAGTATCTTGGAAAGAGCAGAGGTATACACAGGACAAGGGAGCTAGCCATAAAGCATGCTAACCTTGCAGCAGCAGCAATTGATTCCTTACCCGAGAGTGATGACGAGGAGGTAAAAATATCGAGGAGAGCCCTAGTGGATCTTACTCAGAGAGTCATTACAAGAACAAAATGAAAAGGAATGCTTAGTAAAATTAACGATAGTTCTGTTGTCATTTTTCAAATTTTCTGCAATTTTTCCCCGAAGATGAGGGGAAATAAGTTGTTCCTAGTATTAATTTCGTTATTCATTTTCTTCTTAATTATTTTTTTAGATTTATTATTTCACCTTCACTCTTACCCTCTATCTCTCTGGGTTCATTTGTGTCAATGATGACTCTCAGTGTAAGTTCTGCTAATGCCCATTTTTTCTCTTCCTCGTCATCACTCGTGGAATATCTTTGATAGGAAAATACAAAAATCTTTGTTATTCTACTGACATTCTGCAAATTCTGTCATTTTTCCTACGAGGGGAAGACTGCAGCAAAATTTTGAATAATACGAAGGAGTATATCACTTTTGGTAGGTCAAATTAAACGTTATTTTGTGGTAGTATCTAATATACAATTTTTACTTACATACGTTCTTCCGTTACAGTATAATAACTAAATAGATTATTATCAGAAATTGGTGGTTTCTCCTTAAGAAGATTGATTTTTTACCTTAAATTTTTGTTAAAAAAATGTATAATAATCAATCAAAACTCAATTCCATTTAATCACGTAAAATATAAATAATTAATGTGGAGTAGAAGTAGTTAAGTCAATAAATAAATGGTTAATTTCAATTAGGTTGTTCTGAAAAAAATTTGTTAATTAATTACTAGGTGGATTGGTTATTTATTTTAAAATGTTGAAATTAACTAATAATTAATCAATTCTTTATAAATTTAGTAAGCAGTATTAATACCACCAATTATATTTTTAAAGTGTAACTTGTGTCTTTGTTATATAGCAACCCTTAAAGATGTTTCATTGGCAAATTACTAAGCCTTTTGTATCCAGCATACCTGTTTCCCCTTTCATTTAGCTTTTCCCATTTTCATTTCAAGTAGGTATGAATAGATAATTCAAGGACAAACAAGCACTATCAGTCTATCACCTCCGGTGTTATGAATACTCTAACCTTGAGTGTGAATTTAAGCCATAAACCAATCCTAAGCATAACAAAATCATAAAAAGAAAAAAAAAATCATTTTTCCGTGATTTAAACTTTGAAGCATTTTTTTAATTTATCATTATTTTTTAATTAGTTGAATTTCCAAAATAATTTTGCTGCGATAAGAGTACATAATTAAAAAAAAAAAAAAGTTCTCAGGTTTGTCTGGGAGAGTGATTTTAAATTTTGGTTGTGTTTAAACTGACTATAGTTCTGAAAATTTATTTTTATTTTATTTTATTTGATTTAGAAATTATTTTTCTTATTTGAAACTTGTTGACGTAAGCTTATTGATTAGACTAAGATCTGATTATTGTTCAGACAGACTTCAATCTAGCTACAACGAGAAATAAGTGAAGGTACTGGCTTAAATGGTGATATCTATACGAATTTGACTCCTCTCAAGTTAGGAGTCCACCTTAAAAATAAAAAATTTATAACCGTTAATTAAAATATATTGCCGAGTTTATTACCTGATCCACCGTGATTTGATCTATTTTGCCAAGCTCCGAGACGTTTGGTACGCTAGATTTTTTTGGGATTTTCGGTAAATTAAATTTTTTTAAATTTTAAATTTTCAGATATTATAAAAAACTGTAAAAATTATATTTTTAAAAATTGAGATTTTCGAATAAAAAAAAAATTCTCCTCTGCTAAACGTCCCTGGTTTGGTTGTATGCACATATCATTTTTGGTTAGTACCAGGGCTACGTTGGGCCTTGTGTTCCTTGATGTGCAACTGGATACGAATTCGGCTGGTACACAATCCCTTAGCTTAAGCTTAATATATGAATTTTCAAATTTAGAGCGTATTTGGTATTTTTTTAATTAAAAGTTATTTTTAAATTAAAGTAAAAAAAAATATTTAAAAAATAAAGTTAAAAATTATTTGGTGATTATATAAAATTGTTTAGATAGTTTTAAAGAGGAAAGATAGAATAATTGATTATTATGATGAATTATTAGAATATGATAAAATTTATAAATATAAATTATAATAAGGATAAAACTGTAAAATACATATAAGGAGGAGTTTTTTAAGTTGTATCAGTTTCTTTTTAAATGTGTGTTTTTTTTTTTAAAATGAACAACTTTTAAGCAAAAAAAATATATAATTATCAAACAATTTGTAACTTTATTTATAGTTTTAACTTAAAAGTAGTTTTTGCCTTAAAAAAAAATCCAAACAGACTCTAAGTGGTATAAGCTTTTTTTTTTATTTGTGCTTATTTAATGAATAACTTTTAAATTAATTTTTTTATATAATCATCAAATAATTTGTAGCTATTTTTTAAAGTTTTTTTTTAATTTTAGCTTAAAAGTAGCTTTTAATTTAAAAAAAAGTGTCAAATAAGCTCTTAGCTTTTAACTTCTTTTTTCGTTAGAAAAAAGAAACTCTTTTAATAATAAGAATTTTTATAAAAATATATTTGGTCAAACTTCTACTTTAAAAAAAATCAAAAATAAAATATGCCAAGCAAGCACTTACAAGTTTTCCTGCATATAAAGAATAGGGGTGTAAATGGGCTAGGCCGACCTATAGGGGCCTACGGCCTGACCTATATTAAGCCAGACTTGACTTATTATAAATAGTAAAATAGGACAGGCCTAGGCTTTTAAAAAACCTATTTAGAAAACAGGCCATAGGCTTTTTTTGTACACGTCGGGCCTATAAGCCTAAAGGCCGGCCTGTATTATATTATTTATTTTAATAAAATAAATAACATTATTATTTTAATAATTTTGAGTAATAAAGTAACATTCTTTTAGTTATTCTTTTAATTGTTGAATGTTTAATAGGCTTAAACAGGCTAACAGGCCTAGGTCGAGATTTTTTATATTTTAAATATAGGTTAGGCCAGACTTGTAATTTGGGACATACACAGATTAACAGGCCAGGCCAGATCTAATGCTTTTACATAGGCCTTGTCTATTTAAGCCAAAGCCTAGTATAGCCTACTTTATTTACACCTCTAGTCGAGACCAACATTGCTTGGAGAGAGATACAAAACTCAATAAAAAAAAGACGTTTAAATTGAATGAATTCAATCAGTTTTGTCATTAATTTACTCTATTACCTTTGGGTGTAATAAATTTAATGACTTGACTGGTAAAAAGGAGAAAATGTTAATTTCAATAATTAAAGCTAAAATCAAACCAAAGACACTAAAATCCAACCAAGTTTAATAGGATTTCTTTTTGTGGAAATGAAAATAAGAAAGGATTTTCAAATCAGATCAATTCTTATTTCTTATCTTAAAAAAAAAATTTATTTATAAATCAACTAAATTATTAAAATAATTGATCTCAAATATAATCTTATTTCAAAATTTTCTATTACATAAATTAATACTCTTAGTCTTCCTTGGATATAATATAAGCAATGCTGTAAATATGTAATAAACTTTTGAGTAAACATCTTTTTTGGTCCCTGACAATATTTACGAAATTCTTTTTAGTCCCTGGCAATGAAAAAGGACCAAATTGGTCCCTAAAATTATGAAAAAAGAGCCACGTTAGTCCTTATGTCAACTCCTCCGTCACTAACGTGACCCTTTTTACACACTGTGAGGGACCAATTTGGTCCTTTTTTATTGCCAGGGACTAAAAAGGATTTCGTAGATATTGTCAGGGACCAAAAATGGTGTTTACTCTAAACTTTTTTATTCATATTAGATTCTACTTTTTATTGCATGATGAGGAGAGTGATACATACCTTGTGTTACAATGAAAATTTGATGCGCAATGTATTCTATTTTTTTGTATATATCAAGGGATTTGCATCTATCATGTCACATGACATCAAAATTTTTTTACACACACAATATTTTGTGGAGTCCACACTTTTTAAAGCCAAAAAAAAAAAAAAAATTAAGACACGCAAAACGAATCTCTATAACATTACACACTCATTTTTCTTACAACATAACTCTTATAAAACCCATATATCAAAGGTGAAAAGAAACCGAAACTACAGTCTACATGGGTGGTGGCTTAAGTGATAAATAAATTTAATTACAATGGGCAAGAGACTTTTAAAATATTAAGAGTTTATTTGATTATTAATTAGTAGAGTTTGCTTTTTCTACAATATATAATTTATCTATATTGAGTCCAAAATGACGTTATTTTAAAGCAGAAATTAAGGTATATTAATTTTAATTTATTTCAGAGTTATAATAATTTTTTTCATTATAGTTTTTTAATTTTTCAATGCAAAATGACATTATTTTGGGAGCCAACGTAGATAACTTATATACGTTCAAAATAAATCTCATCACCCAAAAGATAATAATAATAAAATCTGTTCCCGAAAATACAAAAAGAGAAGGTCAAACGAGAATTATGAATATATAAAGAAAAATAATCAATCTTAATTATAATTGTTAAAATAATAAAAAATTTAATTACTTTAAAATAGTGTCCAAAATATCATTTTACAGACAATCACAAATCATTCAAAATCAGTTAGCCTAATAATATGGAAATAATTAAAATTAAATCAATCCTTTAAAAACAAAAACTTGACAATTAATCAAATTTAAAACATATCCTATATTTGATCCCTTAAGACAATTTTCTTGAACACATGAGTCATATCTGATTGAGATTCGATTTCTTAATCAACATTAAGTCCTCAGGTATTGTTTATTAGTTCAAATCTAGATGTTTACAAAAATATAAATAAATGGGTAATTTAATTTTTAATTTTTTTAATCTAAATGTAGTTTTAAATATGTATGTGTGTATGAGTTGGTCTTTAAATTTACAAAATTTATATTAAATTAGCCTTTTTAAAAGATTAAATGAGATACACGAAGGATTTATATGAATTTCATAAGATCATTAATTAACTCATACTAAGAGCCTATTTGGTACTTTTTTTAAACTAAAATATACTTCTAAGCAAAAAAAAACTTAAAAAATAAAGGTAAAAGTTATTCTATATTCTATGTAAAACTGTTCTAAAGAATTTGAAGGTGAAAGATAAAATAATTTTTTATTAAAATGAATTATTAGAATAAAATGTAAAATTGGTTAACATAAATTTAGCATATATCTTAAAAAAAGGCTTATCTTGGTTGCTTTTAGTTTTTTTTTTTTATTCATTACAATTTTTTTATAATAAGAGTTTTTCTAAAATTATACTTAACTAAAATTAGAAAAAAATTAAAAATACGACCGTAATTAAAAAAATTAAAAAATTAAGTAAGATAAAATTTTAGAAACTCAAAAAAGTAAGATAAAATTTAGAGTAATCCGATTTTATTTAATATAAGATAAGATTTGATCTTTTAAGTTTTTAAGTTTTATATACTTTGATGGATGTTGCGACCGATGTTGCTCAATTTACTTGGATTTATTAACGTGTTTTTTTAAAACAAATGTTAAATTATAATGTAAAGCGCCTTTTGGATCTCTAATAAAAATTACCGTCTTCGCTTTCATTCTTTCCAAAAAAGAAGTCAACTTTTGGTTCTCTACAATTTCAGTTCTTTGAAAATGTATTTCCTCATAAATTCAATAAAAATCCAATTTAGTCTTTAAAAATGACTAATATGGTATTTTTTTTGTAAGTAACAAAACTAGGGATAATATTTTTTTGTTAGGGATCCAAAAAGAACTTATAAAAATAACACTTATTACTTTTTTTATTAAATCATATTAATTATTTAAATGTATATAACATTTTTTTAAGGATTTATTTTTTCTAAAGTTACTTTAGAAAAATTTATCTAATATTCACCTAAACGACGTCGTTTTAGGGCTGAAATCATTATAATAATTTATTCTAGAATTTTAATAATTTTTATCATTCTAATCTTTTTATTCTTTAACCTAAAAAACTACATCGTGAATATTATATAAATTTTTCTAAAGTAATTTTAAAAAATTTATTCCCTTTTTTAATTATTAAATATTCATACCTTTTATTTAATATATTTAATTTTTAAGAAAGGTTATACTTGTAACTTATTTAATATATTTAATTTTTTTAAGAAGATTATACTTACAACCAATTTCATTTACAACCCTCTTACAATTATATCTTAATTATTGATTTTCGTCAATCAACGGATATCATTAATTGCTAATTAATAATTAATTATTAAATTTAATGTACAAAATAATAATTATTAATTGATAAAAATCAACTATTAAAATATAATTATAAAATATTATAAATAAAAATAGATTATAAATATAACTTCCCCTTATTTTTTATTTTCTTAACATGGATTTGGGCAATACATTATCAAAACCTGAAGTTAAAACCTAGAAGAACAAAATCTTTTATTGAAAATGAAACGAGCGATCAGCATAAACGGAGGGACAAACGGACTCCAGCAGAGACAGTGGTAGTTTTTATTCTCATGCCGTGTGCCGTGGTAACAACTAGCTAGCGACGGTTCCCAAGGCTGTTCCGCTCGGCGAATCAGAAACTGCCCCTTCCTTCACTTCTCCTTCTTCCTCCGTTTTCGCTCTACCTCTTTCTTTGGCTCCTGCTCACGCAAACGTACTCATGGCGGTTGCTTAAGCGTTCTCGAAGGCCACCAAAGCCGCTTGCTCGGGGAAAATGACCACTATCACCTCCGCTGAGCTCAACTATCTCGTGTTTCGGTACCTTCAAGAATCAGGTTTCTTTGTTTTTCAACCTCCTTTTTTTTGTATTACGAAATTCCTTTATATGTTTTTTTCGTTCTTCTCGCTCGGTCTTTTCTTGTTCTTCTGTGGTCCATGAGATGTTAGGAGTTTAGAGTTTGAACGAATTTTGAGTTTTCGAATGTTGGCGGTTCGAGCTGGTTCGAGCAAGCGGTTGAATTATTGATGTAACTAGATTAGGGTTAGCTAGTGCTCAGAAACGGCACCTTGTTTAACGGAGGGAAATTTGTAGCTTCAATTGTAGTTCCGAAAATTGACCTTTCAGTTTTATGGTTGAAGGTTGAAGGAGGAATGGAAATTGTTAGATCTGTTGCTAAAAGATGGATATTTGGTGTTGAGACCTTAATTTTATAGTTCTGAAGTGAAATTTCAGCTGTTTTCAAGAGTTAAAAGTTTATTTGGCCCTAGACTTACTTTATAGCCTTGAAAGATGTTATATTAAACCCATCAGAAGAATATTCCCATGTTTATGATTGTTTTTAATTTTAATTTTATCTTGAAATAAATGCTAATGCCAATTTATTATTCATAAAATGATTTTGAGAAGATAACTATTCAAGAACAGTCCATTGTTGCGGTAGTAATAGAGGAATCATCTAGTCTAGGGCATCCATCAGAGCGAGAAAAGCTTGTTGAAGTTGATTTTATAATAAATGTATTTTTTTACTTAGCAAGAAAAGCTGTTTCTTTCCATTTTAATGAAACTTTTCATATTTATGAGAAGGCCATAACATGCAAAGCAACTGAATTTGTTTACTGACTACTGATGTTATAACTGCAGGTTTCACACATTCTGCTTTTGCGTTTGGATATGAGGCGGGTATTAACAAATGTCCCATTGATGGAAATTTGGTACCACCAGGTGCTCTTGTTACATTTGTTCAGAAGGGGCTACAGTACTTGGAGATGGAAGCCAACTTGAGCAATGTTAGCATTCTTTATTTTTTGTATTATAGTTTTCACTATCAGTATAACGTGCATCTGCTTGAGTAGATTTTTTAAGCTTTCATACCCTAGGTTTCATGTTGATCAATGTTAGCCTCCCAGTGTGATGCAGACATTGATGAAGATTTTTCACTTTTACAACCTTTGGATCTTATCACAAAAGACGTGCAAGAACTTAGGAAAATAATAAGTGAAAGAAGGAAAAAACTACAGAAGGATAAGAGTAAGGAACCTGGAAAGGAGCATGAAGGTGAACGTGGACGGGTAAGAGAAAAGGAAAGACATCAAAGAGAGAAAGAATGTGAAAAGGAAAGAGCGAAGGTAGAAAATCATAAAGAGCATGAACAGCAGCATGAAAATCAGAACGGTAGAGAAATGGTCGCAGATCAAGAAGATAAGGTTACTCTAAAGCATGAAGAGAATGGAGCATTTGGAGGTAACCATCTGTTCAACATAATTGGTTTCCTTTGTCTTTTATGGAAGTGTTCTCTGTTGCATATTTGGCATTTCATGTGGAATAGCTGCATTGTTTTTATCAATAATTTCCCTTAAATGTCAATCTCATATAATCCTATGTTACGCTGATGTATTTAACCATTTCTTGTTCACGTTTACATTTTTTATATTTATTTTTGCTAGCGTTAACTCCATACAAAATTTATGATATATTTGCATGCATGTTGTGATTAGGTTATTAAGATTGAGTGTTGTAATGACTGATGAATAGGAAAATGACTCCATTATATTGTGGATAGCTAGTAAATAAAAAAAAATTCATCAGTTCATCTGTTCTCTATCAACCATACTTTTCAAATATTGGATTGTTTAATCAGTATAATCCCACTTAAAGCTGTTTATCTGGATTGCTGCCCTGGTAAATTTTAATGATTTATTAGTTTATTACCAGACACTTCTGTAGGATTTTAAGATTAGAAATGTTCTTGCTGTTATAGTACCACATTATTTATCACATTATATATTTTGTAAATCATTGTTATTATTGTAAAAATATCATGTTAGCATAGATTATTCATTATTTGTAGGCAATTAATTATTAAGCTAGGTTTATATATTAGAATGAATTCATGTACAATAATTTCTTTAGAAATAATATTTAATATTTTATCATTCAAGTTGGTATCATATTTATTGATCTAGTAGACTCTGCTTTCGCACGTCAACCCTAGCCTATCTTCATATATAGCTGCCTTTATTGTGGTTGATTCCTACCTATTTGATGAGGCTTCATTGCGCCGAAAACCCTAATTGTGGCCTCAGCCATTGCTGCTCTTTGCAGCTCACCATCCGCTGCTGTAATTTGTCCAACATGTGACCCTCTCACCAAGTTTGTCGTCCTTTGATCGTTCGACCACCCGAAGCCCACCATCGGTGGCCCTGCCAATGTGCTCTCGTGTGTCTCAATTCCATTCATAAACTTCACATCTCGTGGCCTACACTGTGGGTGGTGGCGCATCACATGCCGTGACCTACACCGCGGGTGGTGGCACATCAAGCCACCACCGTGTTCGGAACCAGTCCCAACTACCTTGCCATGACCCCTTGTGTCCAGATCTGCCCTCGGCTAGCACTCACGGCACCATTTGCGAGTTTGATCGAGCCGCATAGAACTCTCATCTCTGCCACAAACTAGCCACATCATCTACCTAAGCCCATCATGCTGGACTCTGAGACAGCCCACAACTATGCCATTACTCAGCCCACTATTGTTAGTTGCTACTTAGCCTATCGATGGAGGTCTTCCCTACTTATGTGCTCTCCTTGATTGTCAAACAGATGGTATCAGAATCAATGGTTTGGTTGGGCCAAGTATTTGGAGATGGTGGTTGGTGCTCTGATCTATACCTAACCCATGTTCTTGAGCATTGGCCAAGACTAGGTTCTTGGTTGTTAACCTCATGAATTCTCACAAAGGCTTCCATTTGAGGGGAATGATACTAATGTTAAGAATAACGCTTGAGGGGGAGAATGTTGGAAATTAAAGGGTGAGTGATGAAATCCCACATTGGTTAGGAATGGTGTAAGTGAGGACTTTATTAGTGAAAAGACCCATAGATTCTTAGTCTTAAGGTTTTGGATCAAGATGCAGGGTTAATTCTACTATTATGTTTTGGTGCTTAACCCATTGATGGTGGCATCCCCCTGACTGCCAAATATATGTGTTTTTCATGTCATATTTTTTTAGTTGTCTGTCCTTGTTCAATATCCTGATTATTTCTGGTAGAAAGTTCTTACATTTAATTTGTTCTCTTTTAATGCTTTTTGTGAGAGCATGTTAACAATGCAAGCTAGTTGTCTGTTTCAATTGTTTTTCTTCCTTTCAAAGAGGAATGAAATTTTTATTTATTTATTTATTTATTTTTTCAATTTTTATAGGACCGGAACCAATGGACATCTCTACAACACCAACATCTATGCCATGTGAAATTCCTGGGTCAGATGTGACTGTTTTAGAAGGGCATACTTCAGAGGTGAAGTATTTCATCAATGTTTCTTTTGTTTGTAAGCTTTCTTAGATTTGCTTTCATCTACTTCTTTGATAATTGGCCTGTTTATTGTCCACTTAGGTGTGTGCTTGTGCATGGAGTCCTGCAGGATCACTTCTTGCATCAGGGTAGGTTTCTTCATGAATGATTTATTTTTGCATAAAATATATATTCATGAGTATGTATTTTATAGTTGATGTACACAATATTTCTCATCTTGCATTTCCATTTGTTATACTTCCAATTTTGTTTGACTTCCTTTTTGATGAAGAGATGCTAACTGTATTCAATATTTTGTGCTTGTTCATCTTTAATTTGAGAATGTTGGCAAGAGTGATTGCTATGAGTCTAGTCAGAATTTTTCACTCACTACAGCTTCTGCATTAGTTATATCAATGCTTATACTTTTGGTACTAGATTCTTGTCCTTAAAATCAGTTATAACTATTAAAAAAAAATGTTCAAAAACATCTTTTTGGTATTCAGTTTCTGCAACTGTAACTTGGATTTTTGTTTATATTTAAAATCTGGTGTTTCTTGAACAACTGCTTTTCATAAATAGCAAATTCGTAGATAATAATAACTGCTAATTTGTTTTCCTCCTTTGCTGGACTGTGGAGAAGAACCTTTGAAATGATTTGGGCTCTAATGGTATCCAACACATTTCAGCCATCTTCACTGGCATCCAAATTCCTATGTTTAACTGAAGTTTAAACAAACAACAAAGGGGACCCCTCTCTCTGAATTTCCGAATGTTCAATTTTTCATCTTCTTGCCTCTTTTTATGCTATTTGACCCTTTGTTTAGAAAGTTGTAGATAAAAAAGCAGGCTTAAACTCTCTCTCTCACCATAAATCACAGATGGGTTATGTGTGGTATATATAGGATATGGTTTAGGAGTTGATTAAACTGCGACACATGTGGATATCCAAATTAACATGAACTATGCAATTTAAACTAATGGAAACTACAGTAGATGGAGGCACATTGCCTTTTTTTACTTTTCTGAAACAAATTTTATCCTTGGTTTTCATAATGATATGCATTTCTTTTACCAAACAAATTTTATCCTTGGTTTTTCAAAATTCTTCCAAAAATAACTTCAGATCTGAATTATTTTCTTTTTAAACAACTGTTTTTTTGACTCCTGTAGTGAAGAACTGTTTTATGGAAACAAATGAGCTAGAATAGGATTAAAAGGCCTTAAATTTTGTTAGGTGGACATGATAGTTTACCTTTATGATAAGGAATTTTGATTCTACACATGCTTGTTATCTATTTCTTTTTTAGAAAATGAAAAGTTAATAGATTTATAGATGGCAATTTTTTCTTTTGTTCTGAATCATGTTTTAAAGAATACTTTTATTGTTCTCTTGCAACTTTGAACACGGTAAACTATTGTGGAACCAGGAACCAGATAGATGGCTTCTTTTAGTACTTCTTCACTTTACTATCATCATTTCAACTTTTAGGTCTGGGGATTCAACAGCTCGTATTTGGACAATAGCAGAAGGGAGATGTAAATCTGGTTCACAGAATGGCCCTTTGAATGGGTTGGTGTTGAAGCATGTTAGGGGTAGAACAAATGAAAAGAGTAAAGATGTCACTACACTTGATTGGAATGTGAGTTTGATTGCATATTCTGATTTGAATCCAAGATGATTGTTGTCGCGACTTTAATCTCCCCTCTAGTTTTCTGATTTTCGACATACATCTCTATCTTTTTCAAACTCATGCCAACCTCCCTTAAACGGGAAGTTTGTGACAAGGAGAATTGTATAAGATTTTTATGGCAGATTTTGTATGTTCCAAGGGAGATTTGTGTAGTTTATGAAAACAGAAGGAAGTTATGGGAAAATCAAGAAAATAGATGGGAGGTTTTATCTTTTCTTTTTATCTTTTTTTTTTTTACTAAATATACTTTTTTTTTCTGAACTTTTGACTGAAAAACATTTTAGGTATGATTCCTTTTTTTTTCTTCTCCCACTCTTGGTATGTGTTGAGATATATAAAACCATTAAAAAGCTCTCACCCACCAGCTTAAGCTTTTGGGTTGAATTGATTCTTTACATGGTATCAAAGCCTCATGTCCCGGGTTCGATCCTCGCTGCCCCCCACTTTCTTTCAAGTGAAATTTCTTTGTTCGCACAGGTAGGTGGGCCTTTGCATTGTTCACCCTTCAAGCTCAATGGGCTCTCGTGTGAGGGGCGTGTTGAGATATATAAAACAATTGAGATTAAAGAATAATTGTATATTGAATAATCATAGCATGTTACAATGTACAAGAGCTCTCTATTTAAAGAGACTAAAAGACCTAATGGGCTGAGCTCATAAGATGTGGGAGTATATATACTGAACTATTCTTACAACTATTCTAACACTCCCCCTCAAGCTTGAGCATATATATTGTGAGCATATATATTGTAAGCACCCAGCTTGCCACAAATATATTCAACCCGAGGACCCCTAAGAGCTTTAGTGAAGACATCCGCAAGTTGATCATTGGAGTTGACAAATTCCGTTTTGATTTCTCCTGAAATCTTTTCTCGAATGAAATGAAAATCGATCTCTATATGTTTGGTTCTCTCATGAAATACATGATTAGAGGATATATGTAGAGCAACTTGATTGTCACAAATGAGAGTCATGGGTTTCTTCTGTTCACAAATATGGAGCTCTCGAATCAACTGCTTTAACCAGATTAGCTCGCAGGTAGCAACTCCCATTGCACGATACTCGGCCTCTGCACTAGATCAGGCAACAACAGTTTGTTTCTTACTTTTCCAAGAAATCAGGTTTCCTCCAAAGAAAACACAATAGCCTGAAGTAGTGCGCCTATCCGAGGGTGATCCTGCCCAATCGGCATCTGAATAACCACAAATTTCTGTATTTCCCTGATCTGAATATAATAAACCTTTCCCTGGTGCTCCTTTGATGTAACGAAGGATCCTAACAGCAGCATCCCAATGAGAATCACACGGAGAATCAAGAAACTGACTAGCGACACTAACAGCAAAAGATATGTCCGACCTAGTCACAGTGAGATAATTGAGCTTCCAATCAACCTCCGATAACGTCCAGGATCAGATACTGGTTCTCCTTGTCCGGATAGTAATTTGATAGTAGGATCCATGGGTGTGTCAAATGGCTTACACGCCAACATACCAGTCTCCTCTAGGATATCCAAGGCATATTTCCTTTGACAGATAGAAATGCCCTGTCTAGACTGTGCTACTTCAATTCCTAAGAAGTAACGAAGCTTACCAAGATCCTTTGTTTGAAATTGACTGAACAAATACTGTTTTAACTGATGAATCCCAACTTGATCACTTCCAGTGAGAATAATGTCATCGACATAGACTAACATATAGATGCATTTGTCAGGAGATATGAAACTATAAAACACAGAATGATCGACCTTACTGCGGATTAAGCCAAAAGCCTGAACAACAGGACTAAAACGGCTGAACCAAGCTCGAGGGGACTGCTTGAGGCCATATAAGGACTTACGAAGTCTGCACACCATTCCAGACTCCCCCTGAGCAACAAACCTAGGTGGTTGCTCCATGTAAACCTCTTCTTGTAAATCACCATGAAGAAAAACATTTTTAATGTCTAGTTGAAGGAGTGGCCAGTGACGAACAACAACGAGGGCAAGAAACATTCGGACAGACGCCATCTTAGCGACAGGAGAGAACGTGTCACCATAGTCAAGTCCGAATATCTGAGTAAAACCTTTGGTGACTAAGCGTGCCTTGAGACGGTCAATATGGCCATCAGGTCCAACCTTGACATTAAAGACCCACCGACAACCAACAATAGACTTCTCTGGAGGAACAGGAACAAGATCCCAAGTGCCATTGGAATGAAGAGCAGTCATCTCATCAAGCATCGCTTGGCGCCACCCTGGATGGGAAAGTGCTTCACTTGTGGTCTTAGGAATAGAAACAGAAGAAAGACTAGAAACAAAGGTGTAATGTGAAGTAGAAAGACGGTCATAGCTTAAAAAGGTATAAAGAGGATAAGGGTTACGAGTAGTACGTATACCTTTTCTTTGGACAATAGGAAGAGCCTCTGGTGAAGGAGCCGGAGGGGAAGAGATGACTGGAGAGGACGATGAGTCACCCAGGGTCAAGTCTGTAGGAGGCACTTTCTGATGACGCTGATAAGTGAGAAAAGGGCGGTCAGCAGGGATGGAGACAAGAGATTTGTCCTCTGGGAGAGAGTCACCATCAACTGGTAAAGACAATTCAAGAAAAGGAACAGGAAGAACTTGATCAACATGTGACAATTGAGATGGGATAGAATGAAAGGGTTGTTGATCAAGGAAAGTGACATCAGCAGAAACAATATAATGCTTAAGATCAGGAGAATAACAACTATAACCTTTTTGAATACGAGAATAATCAAGAAAGATACACTGAAAGGCTTTGGATGTTAACTTATCCTTACCAGGAGTGAGATCATGAACAAAACAAGTACAACCGAAGACATGTGAAGTTAGAGGATAAAGAGGAGCATCTGGAAACAATAGATTATGAGGAATGTCATTGTTGAGCACAGATGAAGGCATGCGATTGATGAGAAAACAAGAGATGAGTACAGCATCTGCCCAGAAGTGAAGGGGAACCTGCATATGAATAAGAAGGGTACAGGAAGTTTCAATGAGATGTCTGTTTTTACGTTCAGCCACCCCATCTTGTTGTGGAGTGTGAGGACAAGTAGTTTGATGTAAAGTACCTTGTGTGGCCAAAAAATTAGAAAAATCAATAGAAACATATTCCTTAGCATTATCACTACGTAGAATACGAATAGAAACACCAAATTGAGTATGAATCTCATTAGAAAACTTTTTATAAATGGAAAATAACTCCGAACGATTTTTCATTAAATAGATCCAAGTGCAACGGGAAAAATCATCAATAAAGGTAACGAAATACCGAAAATCTAAAACAGACAAGGTACGACTTGGACCCCAGATATCTGAATGAACAAGAGAGAAAGGGGCATCAACTCGTTTATTGACTCGACTGGCAAAAGAGGAGCGTGTATGCTTCCCTTGTTGACATGACACACAATCTAAAGACTGAAGATCGGATAAAAGAGGAACCATTTTCTGCAACTTTGAAAGACTTGGATGACCGAGGCGACTGTGGATAAGTTGTGGAGATTCTGTGAGAGAGCATGCCACTGAAGGACGAGGCACATCCAGATACTAAAGCCCCCGTGACTCACGACCCACTCCAATCATCTTCCCCGTACCCGGATCCTGCACAGAAACAGAATGGTTAGAGAAAGTAATGGTGCAAGTGAGGGAGTGGATCAATTTACTAATAGAAATTAAGTTATAAGGGATGCCAGGAATGTAATAAACAGATGTCAAGGCCAAGGTAGAGGTCGGACGAGCTTGTCCAATCCCACGAACTGGGGCTTTGGTTCCATCCGCAAGGGTAAAAGAAGGTAAATGATTAGAATAAGTAAAGAGATGTAAAGAGTTCCTTATTACCACAGAGATGATCGGTAGCACCTGAGTCAAATATCCAAGTTCCAAGTGATGTAGAATGATAAACACAAGCAACGGGATTACCAGTATATGGCTGAGACTGAGGAGAAGCCTTCCTGAGAAGAGTTTGGAGTGCAGCATAGTCCGCAAGTGAGAGAGAACCTGAACCAAATGATGCATTGTCTGACTGAGCTATATTTGCAACAAGAGAGGTGTCCCAATCTTTGTAGTTGTCAGAATCCTTCATTTTGGAAGATGTAATGGGCCTAATATTAGTAGAGATGATTCCTGAAGAAGTTTTGGCAGGAGGAGAAGGAGAGTTAACCTCCGAGAGATCAGGAGATGTTGCTGCCATTTAAAGACAAAATAAAAAAGCCGTAAACGAAGGCAAACATTATCCAATCAAGGAGAACCACTTGTCTAAAGTGAGACCCACAAGGAACCAAGCACCGATCCGGAAAGAGGAGGAAAAACCGAGCTAGTTTGTCCAGGAACGACCGGAAAAAGACGTCAGAACAGTGCACACGCGCCGGTGAAGGGTGGCGCGTGAGCACCACGCGCAGGGAGAAGGAGCGGCGTGTGAGAGCGCATAGGGACTCCTCTGATGACGGGTCTTCCACAGACTTGGTCGCCGGAGACAGAGGGCTCTGATCGCAGGATTTCCGGTTGAAATCGACGCCGGAACAGTGCTCCGGTGGCCTGAACAGTGATGAACGGCGGTTGTTGGCGGCGGGAAGTGGTTCTGACAGTTGAAGAAACAAGCCAGAGAGACACACGACTTAGAGAATCTGCCGGAGGGACACACGGCTTGATGAAAAACTCGCCGGAAGAATGCACGGAAAAGTAGAAGAGAACACCTAAGCAGTGGGCTTAGGATTTTAGCGGAAGCGGATCCCCAGAGCGAAAAAGCTCTGATACCAAATTGAGATTAAAGAATAATTGTATATTGAATAATCATAGCATGTTACAATGTACAAGAGCTCTCTATTTAAAGAGACTAAAAGACCTAATGGGCTGAGCTCATAAGATGTGGGACTATATATACTGAACTATTCTAACAAAAACCATTAAAAAACCCTCACCCACCAGCTTAAGCTTTTGGGTTGAATTGGTTCTTTACAGTATGCTTAGGTAGTAATCTTGTGACTGTGAGATATGTGATTTTATGTTTAATATATTTAATCATAATTATTTATATCTTATGGAGAGCTGGACCTCTGGTGGCTGTTGTGCAGGGTGATGGGACACTACTTGCAACTGGTTCATATGACGGGCAAGCAAGAATTTGGACTACTAATGGTAGGCCATTTTTTATATACTTAGATTATCGCTTTTTGAGATTTATGTGATGAGATGAAAAGAGCTCAAAGATGCATGACCCGTGATCTTTCTTTTTGGTATGATGTTTCTGTTTGCTAGCTATGTTAGACTCTGGTTGATGGATAACCAATGAAAATTAAAGGGGAACAAAAGGAGGGAATACTTGTATTTATGTTTATTTTAGAGAGAGAATGGAAATGAAGAATACTTGTTCCCTCCAAATTGTCTTGAAAATAAACGAGAAAGTAAATTGGCTCCCAATATTATTTCTAATTCTTGTTAGATATACAAACAAGACGAAGGTAAATATCACTCCTCCTTTAGATGCCCCATTCTCAAGCAGTCAGATTGTAACTGTTCTCACTTATCACTATGCAAGTCCATCTCTGCTTTTGTTACGGAGCCAATTTGGTTGATGTTTTAAATTGTAAGGAAAATTGATGATGCATGTTGGTATCCAAAAGCTGCAATGCATTTTTTGTGCTTGTATTGATCAGGGGCTATGTAGTGAAGATGAACCTGAGATTTGAAAATAAACTAAGAAATATTAATCTGCCATGGTTTTCAGCTAATTAATAATAGGAGAAATGATACCCTACATCAATTTTGGCTATCAAAAATCACAGTTGTTTCTGTGGGCTGTTGATCAGAAAAGCAGTCAGTCATATAACTGCCTATGCGGACACAATTGTGATTTTTTCTAACAAAAAGGTTGTGAGAATAGTATTACTCTTAATACAATGATATTTTCTTCCACCATAAAGTTGATGTAATGAAACTCAAACTAATTGATTTGGCCAATAACTTTTACCTTAACAATTTCTATTTTATGCTAGCATATGCACCGTTTGAATATGTGTTTGTCTGTCCAGCTGTTATGTGTGAATAGCATCATTGATTCTAATTACGTGTTGCAGTCATGCTAGAGTTAAAGTTTCTTATGTTGTAGGAGATAAAATTATTTTACACATACATAAAAGTGCATGGGGTTCAATTTTTCTCTTTTTCTCTCTTCTCCTTACATGGTCTCACATTGGCCTCACACATTTTTATGTATGTGTAGGAGATAATTTTATCTTCTATAACATGAGAAACTTTAAACCCTTCATGCTATATGTAAAACAATAGTAAAATCATTGAGTTTATACTGTTGATTTCCTTAAACAGGTAATTCTGTGGGTGTGTTTGAATTTGCTCTCATTTGACTTCAATCAAAGTCATTATTTTGATCATATTGTGTGTCTTTGACTAGGTGAACTGAGGAGTACATTGAGCAAACATAAGGGACCCATATTCTCTTTGAAGTGGAATAAGAAAGGCGATTATCTTCTTACTGGAAGTTGTGATCAAACTGCAATTGTTTGGGATGTGAAAGCAGAGGAATGGAGACAACAATTTGAATTTCATTCAGGTAAAATTTTGGTTGTTTTTTCTAAGCAAGGGAGAATTCTATAAAATGAACTCTTGGTGAGATTTTTTTTTTTTGGTACATCGGTGTGAATATTTTAAATCGTGATTACGAATGAATTTTTAATTTTGCTTCATATTTTGTTTAGGTCCAACACTTGATGTTGACTGGCGCAACAATGTGTCATTTGCAACAAGCTCCACTGACACTATGATACATGTTTGCAAGATTGGCGAAAACCGCCCTATAAAAACTTTTGCTGGGCACCAGGTTTGTACAGTTTATCTTGTTTTATGCTATGCAGTGATGCTTATGATACTGAGATTGTACTTTCGTTGGAGGGAGAAGGGTTCATCCCCTCCTTTATTGAGAACAAGTTAAAAATGGCTAGCAAGGTTAAGTGTATAGATTGGTGGATAACCCTGGGATGGTGCTTTCAAGCTGAATACTGACTTTCTAAGCTGTCTGATTATTTAGGTGGATTTCTTATATAGGTCCTGTAACTTGCTTTGATTACTAAACTCGACTTAACTAGTTTATAGGTCCTGTCCTGCATTAAGTTGAGATATTCCATTGAAATGCAATATAGTGCTTGGATAAATTTTTACTTTCTGATAATGACCTTTCTGCAATTTCAGAGTGAAGTTAATTGTATCAAATGGGATCCCACAGGTTCATTACTGGCCTCGTGTTCTGATGATAGCACTGCAAAGGTAATATGAGTAACTGATGTTTTCTAATTTATCATTCCATAATATAATGTTTTTTATTGGTTATGGATTGTGCAATCAAACATTTATTTAATAAAATATTTTTTGAGATAAATGTAGATTTCTGCTGAAGTATATGTGAAATTAATCCGTGATTGTACTCTGTATGTTTGTTGTTTCTTGTTTTGTAGATATGGAGTATGAAACAAGATAAGTTTCTTCATGATTTTAGGGAGCATTCCAAGGTAACAATTTTTAATATTTTTCAATGTCAGATTTTGTATTTATGTTTGCATTTGAATTTCTTACACTTGTTGGGATAACTAAATAATTGTTTTGTAGGAGATATATACCATCAGATGGAGCCCAACTGGTCCCGGTACAAATAATCCTAATCAAAAATTGGTATTGGCTAGGTATGTTAGTTGCTTGGTGAAGTTATATTAATTGTTGTTGTTAATTTACTTACATGCATTTATTAATGATGTCTTGAAATTTAGAGTTAGTTTAAGCTGTATTTCCTGACATCGGAATGTTGCTAAGTGACCACTGCATTTGTTCAACTGAAATTGGTTGTGCTGTGAATGGCCTTGCTTGGTGCTAACTGTGCTATATGGGATGATGTGCCACCTTTGGCATGTTACTGATTCCAGTTGATTGTAATTGCCTGCATTATGTTTTCTGGTTGTTAGACTCTTACTTGACTGCCCCTCCAGCATGTTTGTTTCATTTTAAAACTATGTAGTCATCTATTTTGTGCAGTGCATCATTCGACTCAACAGTAAAGCTCTGGGATGTGGAACTTGGGAAACTTATCTACAGCTTGAATGGACACAGGTATTGTTGTTTTTTTGGATACAAGTGGGAATTGAACACATAACCTAACACAACCTACCCAAATCCCTCACCACTAGACCAATCCTAATGGCTTAGGTATTGTCATTTTTTAGCTTTGCATTATTTATATATGGATGGAAGCATAAAATTCCCCCTCCCAGTCTTTATGTTTCAAAACAATAGATAGACGAGGCTGGTCAACTTAAGCCATATCCTCCATTCAGTGTTTCACAATTGCTGTAGTCCTTTATTGAATTTTATTACGTTCCGAACTTCTAGTTTATCTCGTAATTATTGTATTACCCCTGGAAAAATGGATTTATTTCGTGGAAAACATTTCAGGCGTAGTGAAGGAGTCTGATAGGTTGTTTCTATGAATATAGCGAATTTCTTTGATTCCGACTTGTTTATTTGGTCCTACAGGGATGGTGTATATTCTGTTGCATTCAGTCCCAATGGCGAGTATTTAGCCAGTGGATCTCCTGACAAATCCATAAACATATGGTCCTTGAAGGATGGCAAGATCGTTAAAACATATACTGGCAATGGAGGCATTTTTGAGGTCTGTTGGAATAAGGAGGGTGACAAGATTGCTGCCTGTTTTGCTAATAATACAGTTTGCGTTTTGGATTTCCGAATGTAAGATCCTGAGAAGCACCAAGTTATTTATTTAATTTTTATTTTTTTATTTTCCTCCTTTAGATGAGATCGGTGGAATTGTATTTTCGTGGGTAGGTCTCCCATTTTAACCATAGTTGTAGGCATAACTAATGGTACTCGGATCCTGTTGTAATTTCCTGCTATAAATTATCAGTAAGAAATAACTTGTAGGAGTACATTCTTAATCAAAAATTGTGTAGATTTAGTTGGGCAAGATCCTGTATATTCGTCGCACTTCTTTCTGTGTAACAAAAACTATCCACTGCCTGCACGGCTGCACCCCCTGACAGACTGCCCCAAGGTATTTTTTTCTTGGCGTAACTATGTTGTTCAGCCTTTTGCATGAAAGCACTACTAATTTAGCTTGACATCTTTGGAGGAAATAATAATAAAAAATAAAGAGAGGATATATTTATCCCTAAAAAAGTTTACTATCATTACAATCAACTTAATTATCGTTGATTTTCGTCAATCTAACGGTTATAATTTATTGAAAATTAATAATTAATTAATAAATGTGATCTAATACTTTTCAATAAATTATAATTGTTAGATTGACGGAAACAACGGTGATTAGGTTAGTTGTAAATGTTGTGAATTTTTTTGGTGGTAAGTATATTCTTCTCCATAAAAAATTAAGATATATTTTTTGAGATACATAACAACAATAAAGTTTGCAATATTATATGGAGTTAAATATTGGCCAACACAACCAAATGATGGTAGCTCAATTGACATCAGGGAACTAAACAGGTGGGGATGAGAGCATGTGTTTAATTTTTTTCGATACCGTCTTTGAGAAGGGTTTAAAATTTTAATCTCGAGATGTATTTCAAATCAGACTAGTCACAAAGCGATGAATCGATTGAAATATTTTCAAAAAAATAATGCCCAACATAGGCAATTGGCATTATGGAGGATTAGACTTGTTTTTTTTTCTCTGTTTCATACAGTCATTTTTTAATTTTTTTCCCCCTTTATCTCTCTTTCTTTCCTTTTTTATCTCCTCTTTTATTCTATCATTTTTTATTTCTTTACATCTTTTCTTTTCTTTTTGTTTTTTTTCTTCTCATTTATTTATTTGTGTATTCTCTTTTTTTTTTTTTTTTACTTTCTTATTCCTTTTTGCCTTTATATGTATCTTTAGTTCCATTTATCTTAATTTATTTTTCCTTTTAATTATTTATTGCTATTCTTAAGGGATAATGTTATATATTTTCTTAAATTTTACTTTTACTTTTATTTTTTTAATCTTTTTGTACTTTTTTTAGGTTCATCTGATACTGATGCCAATTAGTTTGTGATAAAGGTGTTGGCGATGTTGATATATAATTTTGAGATATGTTTACTTATAATTTATTTTATCTTACAATCACTTGAATTAAAATTAAATCAATTGTTTATTCCTCACCAAAAAAATAAAAATAAAAAATCAATTGTTTATTTAATGTTATTTTGTAATTGTTGATTAAAAAAAAATCTTAATTTTAAAAAAAGAGTGTTTACTAAGAGGTATGTTTATAAATCAATGAAAAAAAAATGAATTGAAAAATTAGAATCTGAATAAATCAAAAACCAAGAAAATTGAAAACATAAAAAAAAAATTTAATTGGATTAAATTGGCTTTTAGTTCCCACTTTTAAAATTAATTTAAATCAAACTGAAAAGGACATTATTTTAACTTATATATTCATGAAATATGACTTAATCTTGTTTATTAAAAGTACATTTGAGTGTCTATTGATATATAATGAGTTGAAATATGAATTACACTCTGACTTTCTTTTAATAATTTGGTCCGAAATGAGCTTTATCAGTATTGCTTATGACTTCTGAAATAAGTAGGATTGGTCTCCTCCAGTGGTTTGATCTATTGAATTTAAATTTTGGCGTTGCTGTGAGGAGTGACAGTTCTAGTGTTGTTCGAGTACTGGTTAGAAATGAGGAGGGGTTTATTCTGGCAGCTGTTACTTGAGTCATGCTTCTTCTACATGGTGGTAAAAGGTGATTCTACTAATGTAATTTACGCTCTGCTTCACAAAAAAAAAAACAAAAAAACTGCCCACATCTTATTTTGAACTAATACGGGAAGATTGTTTGGCTTTTACTTAATCTTAGGTCTTGTAATTTTTTAAGAGACGTAGGGATATTTAGTCAACTTTTCATTCAATATTTCCCTTGTAAATTCAAATTATGTATGGCTAAAAGAAGATCCATGCATTTATGATTTATTATGTCTTTTTAAATATAATCAGGTCATGTAAGATAATTTCAATATCTATAAACAATCAACAGTGACCGTGGACCAGATACCGTGTTAAGATAAAAACTAAAAAGAAAAGATTGATTTGTCTATAAAGAGTGAAAATCATCCCACATAACCTAATCATGATAACGATGAACGAGACATAAAACTTATTATATTTAAACATAAATTGTCCTCTGAGACTTTGTTTGGGAGTTTGGAAGGAAGGGGAAGGAAGGGGATCCAAAGGAAAGGAAGGGGATCCAAGGGAAGGAAATTGAAGGGTATTTCCTTTTTCTTGTTTGGGAGTTAAAAAAATAGTAAAGGAGAAAAATTGAGGGTTAATGAGATATTTTTATCATTTTACCCTTTTTTTAAAATTAATATAATATTATATTTTACAAATTAAATTAAATTTAAAATTTCTAACAAAATTATGTATGTACTTTTCACAACACCAAAAAAGATCATATTTTCGATGAAATTTTTACGTTGAAAACGATGAAAATTTCATCACAAAATTATTTTTTTCGTCGAAAAGCGACAGAATATTTCAACTAATGAAAATTTTTACAAAAATAAATTTTCTAACGAAATTTTCGACGAAATTTATTTTTCATCAAATGTTTTAAACGAAAAAACAATTCTGTCAAAAATTTTGACGGAACATTTTACGTTCAAAATTTCGATGGAAATGTGTTATGATAAAAATTTCGACAGAAATTATTTTGTTAGAAATTTTGAGGGAAATGTTTTATTCGAAACTTTCGACGAAATTTAGATTCTGTAAAGGATTTTGACAAAATATTTTTTTCGTCAAAATTTTTTGTCGAAATATTTTTCGTCAAAAATTTTTACGGAAATATTTTCTGTCAAAATTTTTTGACAGAAATGCGTTCCGTTGAAAATTTTGATGGAAATGTTTTTTATCAAAAATCTTGACGGAAATATTTTACCTCGAAAATTTTCGATGGAAATGTGTTTCGTTAAAAATTTCGACATTTTTTTGCCAAAAAGTTTAATGAAAATATTTTCGTCGAAAATTTTTGGAGGAATTTAAATTCTGTTAAAAATTTTGATGAAATTTTTTTTCGTCAACAATTTTCGATAGAAATGTGTTTCGTTGAATATTTTGATGGAAATATTTTTCGTCAAAAATTTGATGAATATGTTTTTTTGTGAAATATTTTGGCAAAATTTAGATTCTGTAAAGAATTTTGACAAAAAAAAGTTTCATCAAATTTTTTTACATAAATATTTGCAGTCACAAATTTTGATGAAAATATTTTTCATCAAAATTCTGATGGAAATATTTTTCGTAAAAAATTTTGACGTAATTGTTTTACATCGAAACTTTTCGATGGAAATGTGTTTCATCAAAATTTTGGACGGAAATATTTTCGTTAAAAGTTTCGACGCAATTTAGATTCTATCAATAATTTCGACTGAATTTTTTTTTTCGTTCAAAATTTAATTTAGTGATTATGGCAAAATCTGATTTCGTCACTAATTTTGTCTTTAGTTTAATGAAAATTTTCTGACGTATATGATTTTCATAAAAAATTTCATCACTACTTTTGACAAAATATTTTTCGTCAATAAATTCTGTCGGTATTTGAGACTTTTCTAATAATATCGTGTTTAAAAATGATTAACAATTATGTAGTTTTTACATTTTAATGCTAAGGGTAGATAAGTAATTTTTAATATTTTTTCCCTCAGGCACTCCAAATTGGGGGAACTTTAATTTTAAGAAGAATAAGATGTTTGGAGAGTTTAGTAAAATTCTCCAAACTCTTTCCCTCCTTTTTTTTAACTCACAAATAAGAGAAGGGCTTACTAAAACTCTCTTTTTCCTTTCCCTCCCCTTCTAAAACTAACTCCCAAACAAAACCTAGCGAAAATTGCTCATTAGTCTACCAAAAAAAATAAAAAAAAATCCTGTCTTTTGGTCTGGGCCGTAATCAAGAGTCGTGTGGGCTATACTTGAAACAGTGTTAACCACACTAGGGTTTAGCATCTTCGCCACTCGTTGCCTGAAATCCTGGTTCTGGGTTCTACTTCCATAACAGAGCAAAAGCAAAGAAATGGCTTGGCGCTGCGGATCTCTCTCGAGGTCGTTGCTCTCCGCTGCGAGAACCATACCAAGTCGTTCTTCTATCTCTCAACTTCACCGCACTTCTTCGCCTTCCCTTCGCTCTCATCTTCTCCCCTTTCGCCGCCCCCTTATTACAGTCCCTAGGTAAGGAAGGTAACTTGTTTTATTTTCTTTCTTACCTATTTTTCATAATTATTCATTTTTTTCTCCATTCAAATTTCACTTTTCAAGGACTATGGGACTTCTGGGTTGCACGCAGTCGCTGATGCCACTGCACAGCGCTGACGCCGCCGCTCGTCTCACTTCCCACATTACCGTCGAATCGCGCGCTTGCTGCGAATTGTCTCAGGGTACTTATTACTTCCCACTTTTATGTGTAATGTTTCTTTAAATATCATCAGATATCACTATGTGCTATTCATTTGTCTATTCATTCTACTTTTCAGTTATGTGTTGATTTGCAAAATCCTTTGGCGAACTGAGATGTTTGGTTTATTTTTTATTGATATATTTTCATTAATATATACTAGAACGACGCATTGTTTTCATTGTATATGCCTTTGTGTGTGCAACAGGTACTTGAATAGACTTTGCAATCAGCACCAGTTGTGGTTACATGTATGGCTGAACGTAAAAATGATGGCTAATGCTATGAAGCATGAAGCTTGTTGATCCGGGATCTTTTACTCTATTGATCTCTTTTTCCAAAACTGTTTTATGCCCTTGATGGAGGTTTAGGTAGTGCATTTGAGAGTCATTTTAGTTATATCATTTTTATCAAAAATAAGTAAGTATATCTATTCTTCTATTAATGTTTAAAAACTTTTCAAGCTAATAGAAGGGAATAGACTTTGTTTTGCTTTTTGTCAGATCATAATAATGTGGTCCAAGACTAAATTATATTGAAATTAAGTGGATGTATAGATATTAGTTGGTACTTGGTAATGTGGATGCTCATAACCGTTTGAGCTGTTTCAATGTTGTTCTTTTGCTCTCGCACAAAATTCAAAAGCTTTATAA